TGGGGGATGGGGCCAGGTGGGGCAGCAAACGGGGAGCTAGGGTGGGGCATGCGGGCCTTTCAGGGTAGTGAAAGGGGGTCCATACCCCTTGTGTGGGGGCCATCACCCCTGTGGGAGGGCAGCAAAATATACATTCATGAATTCATGAGACACGTACTTAGAGTTCACTTTATTAATATAAGAGAGACTTGCTTTAACACTGTAGATATATCAATAAAACATTGTCTAACTGATCACTGTGTGTCTCACACTCTCTCTCTCTTTATAGTGGTCTTTTGTTTTACTTGTGGAGGAACCTGGATTTTGGGGTATTTTACAGAGTGACTTTGGGATTTTTTTTTTTAAAATCAGGGATTTTTCAGTTTTCCAATAGGGAACACCAGAATTCCTGCTAGGGAGGCCAGTGGCAGGACCCTGCCTGATCAGAGCTGTCACCTTGGACCCATATGGCTGTGGCTGACCTCCTGTGGATGACCTCCTGGCCAAAAGGGACCAGGAGGACATGCTTTGACATTTCAAAGCAGGCCACCACACTGTGAACATCTTCTGGGCAATAGCTGCCCAGATGGCCAGGCAGGGGGCACATGTGGCAGGAGTGCTGCACAGAGGCCACCCCTGCAGCCACAGCCCACTGGCAGCTGGCCCAGAGGGGCAGATGCCTCTACTGGCTGTGCAGTCCCCATCCGGGTCTGGCAGGTGCACAGCAGGTCACAGTCAGGCAGCAGCCCCCACTGCCAGACTGCAGTGGGTAAAGGGTGCAGGGAACTCTCAGGGATGCTTCAGCAGTCCAGCTGGCACAAGGGTAGTATCCCCAGGTACCAATTAGTCAGGATCCAGAAGCTCCTGAGAGCTGGTAGCCCTGAGCTACTTGCCAGGGTGGCTTTTTATACTGCTGGGGCCAGGACATGGCAGCTTTTTATACTTGCTGGGGACAGCACAGGTGCTGGCCCCGGGCTCTAGCTCCCCCTGGCTGCAGATCCAGGAGGAGCCAGGCAGGGTTATTTTGCCCCAAGTGGCACAATTTGCTCCACAACAAAGTACATGTCCAAGCACGTGCGCTGAGACCAAAAGTCCCGGCTCAAATTTGCACCACTTCTATTTGAGCTGCTGCAAGCGCACGTGCTTGCATGTGTGGACGTGCTCATGATATCTGTGAATGGACACCTTTATGTACCAAGTATCTGAACGTTTACAGGGCCATTAAAAAAAACACAACAAAAAAACCCCTCACATCTGCAACTGAAATGATGATAGTTTTGTGTTCTCCTGTTCCTAATACAGGGAGACACCACATATGACCAGTACTATAGGTACACGCTATACTTAGGGTGAGTGCATAGATATTTTTTACATATGTGCATTACAGCAAAAACTATGAAACTTTCATTACACTAACTCTGGCAAGTCTTACACATTTATTGCTATCTTCTGTAAAAAATATTCTCTCTCAAAAGTACTTGAAAGGGTTAACTTTACATGCTTCTATTTTATACATCTAGAGGCTTCCATTCTGAAGATCCCAAGACACTTCACAAGCTATATCACCACTGAAATGTAGACACTCCTGGGAAGACTCGTACAGAATAAAGCTATCAATTTATTTTTCAGAAATCCTATGACTCCAAAGATGCAAATATTCTGAACTCCATTCAGGTAAGAACTACATGAGCTGTGAGAAATTTTAGTATGAGAATTCTGTATTAGATGTACCGAAAGCCCAAGCAGCTTGAAAAATAGAAAGGAAAGATGACCAGGGTACGAAAAGACATTAACTATCCTGTAAAAGTATCTGGGAAAAGATTACAAAGATCTCAGTAAAGTTCAATTGGAACTATGCACAAATAGGAAAATATGTGCAGCTCTCTCAAAACATAACTGTTTCAGATAAATTTATAAGCTTCTCCCTCTCCCAACACCAAGGACTAGTTTAAAACTTCTCTCTTAAAATTACTAGCAAAGATTTCCTCAGTTGAGTTTTCATAATCCTACTTTATTCTTAAAAACAAAGTGAATTACGAATTCCTTAAATTCAGCATAATTCAAAATGAGTTGGGAAAAACTGGAGGATGTTCTCTTTCAATTAAACTGCGAGGAAAATAGCCTCATTGGGCACCTATACACATGCAGTGATGGTGCTCTGATGCACTGTAATTACAGTGCATCGGAGCAGATTCAATAAATCAGGTCTGCTGGAGCGTGGTAATTACCACGCATCAGTGTCCCCATGCTGAAAAAATAGCAGCAGGGGCACTTTTCTTAAAGTTCATTGAGCACATTTTAGTAAAAGTACCCCATCCATCATATTTCAGCACAGGGATGCTGATACATGTGACACTTTGGGAGCTTTAATTAGCGTGGCTCTCAGAGCTGCAATAATTAAAAATCATGCCCCCCCGAGCATGTGTATAAATGCCCATTTTCCCTACGAGGTTTTTAGATATTATATAGATATAGATGTTAATCATTAAATAAAGTCACACACATATATGCATGTATATTGCTTATGTTATGCTATATTATATTATATGATTATACTATACGTACATGCATATACTGTATTTACTCAGATAGAAGACAACTGATTAGCTGAGAGGCAGCAGAGGTTCTGCCCCTCACGGCTGATTGGCTGAGGGTTGCCTGTTCTCTGGCCCAACCCCTCACTGCTGATTAGTGCAGAGGGGTGTTGCCATGTGATGGGAAGCCCTCTGAGCCAATGAGCAGCAAAGGGCGGAGGAGGGGGTGGCCATCTTGGTTGTTCCCCTTCACAATTAAGTATGTCCCTAATGAAAGATCGTGTATTTAGTGAGATTTCCTTGTATATGATTACAGGACAAAGGGGCTTTCCCCCCCTGCCCCCTTATCAACTGGGGGAGGAGGGGGGCAGGGAGACTGTCTTGTAAATACTATAGTTGCACACTAGATGGATCACTGCCTAAAAGGCCAGATGTAAGACACTGTTATCACCCTTTTATGCATCTAAGGAACTGAAGCATTAATAAAGCAATACACTCAACAACAGTAAAGCCTATGGCAGATCAGGGCATTTAACTCTATCCTTACAAATCCTACACTAACACCTCCTAAGAGTGGTACTATCTTTCATCTTCCAATGATTAAGAGAGATATTTTTGTAGTGACTGAAAATACCACTGACTTCATTTTTCCATGCTTGGAGATTAATTCAGTATACATTCCACAGGCAACACTTTCACTGACACCCGTTTGAGATGTGCCTGGGTACAATCCATGGAATTTTTCCTTTTCCAAAGAGCTGTCAGAGAGTCCATCCAGAGCATGATATAATTTTAAGTAGCAACAGGAATGCAATTGCTGTCTACCAAAATTATGTAACAAACAACTTAGTCAACACTCCCCTCTTGCTTGATTTAAAGCTTGTGTGATAATTTAATACAAGGTTTCACAGAAAAGACTCTCAAAAGGGCATCAGGTACATTAGCTAGAACTGTGGAAAATCAGAATATGCATCCAATGGGAAATTCCAGCAGCTCAATGTTTGTTTCATCCCAAATTAGGATGAGAAAAAACCCTGTTATGATATTGAGATTTCACAGAAGCTAAAACTTGAAAAAAAAAATAGATTCTGTTGAGCTGTCTCTCTCAATGATGCTTTTCTACAACTAACAGGAGTGTCACTCATGATACATCTAGAGGTAGGTAACTCCCATAATGTACCTCTCCAAGAAGAATTTTGGCTATATCCCTAACGATGCAAATTTGGAAACTCGGAATACAGCAGAGAATGAGAGCATGAGGCATTCAAACCAGATATCCTGAGGCACTACAAGAGTTCATATTGAAAGGATTCCAGGTTAGATATCTAGAGTCATTCCAAGAAACGGAAATATTTTGAACTGGATAAACTTGACCTGGAATTAAAATATAAAATATTTTGGGGATTTCTTTCCCCCAAATAACACTCAGCAAACCAGAAATTTTCTAATGGAAATTTCCATTTCGCAGAACCTGTATTTCCCTTGAAAAAAAACCAGTAACAGGATTTTTCCAACTGAGTTTAATGTTAAGGTTGGCCTCACCTGGCAGTTAAAGAAAGATAGTCAGGGAGCACATACCATTTATCATTTGATGGTGCAACACTTGATCATATTCCTCACTCTGATATCATCCTACAGAGGTAAATGGATGATACTTGTAACTGCTGCTCAACATAAGTATATGTTGGAGTGAGGCCTTTAATGAACAGTGTATATTAAAATGTATAGTTTCATGCTGAACATAACTAGCTAATCAAGTAATTGTATGCATTTAATCTTAAGGGAGACCTCAACCCCACTAATAATTGGGCTCTGTTACTTCTAGGCCCCCTCTACATGTGCAGATAAAGGCACTATGAAATCTAAGGTGCAATCCACACAATCATGCCTCAATCCCCAGAGCCTAGGGGTTTCATGCTGGGCATGGTATCTCTCTGCAGCTGGGAGCCCTGTCAGCTGACAAGACTCCCAGCTGCAGGGAAGACCCTGCTACACATGCAAATTAAAGCTCAATCCAAGCTGATATCAAGTTACTACACATTTTAAAGGTCTAACTTTACAGCTGGTTGGATCTTTTTATCATGATAAGTACTTTGTATGTGTAACTGATCTTAAGTTAATTGCACAATTAACTTATTGATTGTGCAATACCTGTAAAATGTAGAGGGGGCCTAAATAATGAAACAAAAATCTCTAGGGATGTGTGGCAGGGAGCAGTGTGAAATAGGAATGGCACCGCAAACTGCTGTGCTGTGTGCTCTGACAAAGGATTTCAGAGTTATGCCACAGCACTGTGTTCATGGTACTTCATTTTCTTTGCATGCCATTTTACATAATATAGATTTGTATTACTGTAAATGATGATATTCCATTCCCCCTGATGCTGCAATGATATACACTCTTGTAAGCAGAGCACACACCCCAAAGTGCTTTTGAGGCAGGCCGCTTCGGTAGACCAGATGAAAATATGATCTTCTCGCTCAGGCACATCAGGCCAATGTGATTTAATGTTGCTTGCTCTGCACAAAGGAAACAGCTTTTGCAAGAACACAAAAGAAGTCCTCCAAAGCAGGCCCGACACTACATTCTGTAAATGAATACAAGGAAATAAGTTACAGATGGCTTACTGAAATAACTCCATGGCCAGAACACTGTGCTTGCCTCTCTGAACTTTTAGGGGCAGATACTCATTTTATTTACCTTGTTGATACCACTGCCTTTTTTTTTTTTTTTTAAACCAGACCTCTTTACTAGATAAACACATTCCTCTTCCTTTACCTAATCAGTTAAGAAAAGACTGCCTCAGGATGGACAGAGAGGAAGGATTTCTCTACATAGAATTATTGCATTACCACCAGATGTATAACAAAACCATTAGTTATGCTGCTTTAATCCTTAGCACGTACAAAATGGTTTTATGTCAGTATAGCTTCTGACTGAGGTTTATCCTTTCCAATTCAGCTCCCACTCCTTTGGGATAAGCTCCCGATTCCCAGGCTCTCTCATATGTTCAGCTGATAAGTGTACAATGGCTTGCTTTGTACTCTGGCTATGGATCTCACGTACCAAGAATTTTATCACATGAATATTTAGGTTTGCTCCCTATTCCTTCAATGTGCAGTGCTGAGGAAAGTAAATGTTTATTTCCCCGTAGAAACTTCTGGTTGAAAGGCAGAGAGGCACTAAAACACATCTGAAAACTGGAGAGCCCAGACCACTACAATAATCTAGGCCCTTTTAATTCTGGGCAGCCATCAAGCAGCTCTCCAAAATTCAGGCCAACAGATAGGTGAGCACAATCCTTCCAAAGAGAGACTGCAAAGGCCTATCCTCTATACTATAACCATAAATAACAGAAAACAATACTATAGGCCAGGAGCAGGCAAAATAAAAAGTCTGCTCCTGGCTGCCTGTCAAAGATGACAGGAGCCAGGGGCAGTAGGACCCAGGGGGAACCAGCAGCAGGAAACAGAAGCCAATCCCCACCCATTCCCAGCCTGCTCCAGCATCATGGGGCTCCCAGCTGCATTGCCGTACTGGGCAGCACAGGGCCCCACTGGTATGGGGGTGTATGTGCACACCCAGGCAGGGGCAGAGAGTGTGTATGTATATGCATGTGTGCACATAGGCAGGGGCAGCGTATGCGCGCGCACAGGCAGGGGCAACACGTGCGTGTGAATGCGTTCATAGGGCAAGTCCCACATGCACATCCCACCATACACACGCACCCAACACCCCACCTCACAATGCCATACATGCAGACCCCCAAACCCACACCCCCTCACACATCCCAGACACCCTCACCCCACACAGTCCCCCACAAACCCCATTCCCCACATATCCACACAGACACCCACATGCTCCCTCACCCCACATACCCACAGCCCCCACAAACCTATACCCACCCCCTAAATATACAAGTGTAAAACTTCATTTTAAGCTATTATGCAATAACCTCTACGTACACTACACAAATACATGCAACTCAGAGAAAAAATATTTTTTGAAATCAAATTAATGAATGTTTTAGATGTTCACTTTTTAGAATATAATTTGGTATTTTTCTGGTTCCCGGATGATAAAACCCCTTGCTGAAAGGAGTACTTCTGGGGGCAAGGGGAAGAACTTCTAGTGGCAAAAATCAGGGGTTAGGGGGTGAGACCACCAGTCCCAAGATGGCAATCAGGGGGCAGGTCACCTGTCAAGGGATGGAGCTACCCATGTAGCCCTTGACAGCTTGCCAAAACTTGGTAAGCGGCCCTCCACCCAAAATAATTGCCCACCCCTGCTACAGACCTTGCTGCTGGAGACTACATTTGCCTAGGAGCTAGTTCTTTGGGTGCCTCCAGTATATCTGGGGTCTATAGCTTCAACTCTGGAGAGAAAACTATTTGTAAAACTAAGACTTCTGAACCTTTCTGTGAAAGTAACACTATTGGACAATATTCTGGATTCAGCCGTTGAAGAAACTCACAACTCTTGAGCTTCAGAGTACCATAAAGCAAAATCCATTTCTTCATCATCTTTAAGGAATGGGATCTCCTTTCCCAACAGAAAATCTATCAGGTACAGATGCAAACTGGGACAGGTTTACCACTGACCCTTTCAGAGAACCAACTTGAAACACCAGGCTATACCAATACAAGAACAACTCTTCCTGTACCTTCTTGTTTTGTGATATGTTTAAGAGTGTGAGGAGCTTGGAACTCCTGTATAAAAATCCAGGCAAGCTCTTGGGCTTGGTCTATTTTTTTTTTTCAAAAGAAACCCAATGTCTCAGAGGTTTTTTTCTTAAAGCAATTTCTACTGTCTTAAACAACAGACAAATGAAGAACTGGACCTGAAGATAAAGTCAAACATTCCCTAATCTTGTAGCTCTCCAGGATACAAAACTTAAGTAGCACTGCTTCAGGATTGTATACGTTTCTTTCTCTCTGGTCTCACAGGTCTTGAGGGGCCTATAACTGCCCTAACTAGAACCTTCCATCTCCTCCTATCTGGCCCAAACTCCTTCGATATGGTCATATCTTCACCCATCCCATCTAGTCTGATACCCTCCACCTCAGCTTCTAAAATCTGCCTCACATGCCTTCTCTCATCAGTTCTCACAATATGCCCTGACATTTCATTCTCTTATCTTGTGCCAGAACATCAGGTGTTCTACAAAGGTCCACAAACTCTTGATTATGTCTTCACGACCACACTCATTTTCTTCTACTGTACCAAATATTTTCCTAAGCACTTTGCTTTCAAACACTTGCAGCCTTTTTCCATTTGCCTTTGTCAGCACCCAGGATTCACATCCATATAGAAGGACAAGTTAAACAACAGTACTATAAAAGCTGAATTTTGAGGTTTCTTGAAATTTTCTTTGATGCCATCCAGGCTCAACAGGCATATATTAGCATTGTAAGCTCCTGTGATTTATTCAGTTATTTGCTTTTCCTCAATTATTATTGTTCCTAAATATTTGAATTTCTCTATTTTTTCTACTTTATCATTCCCTATCCTAGTTTTCCTGCAATCTTGAGATTTATTTCTGAATGTAAATGACACTGACAGCAAGCCCAACTTCTTTGGTATTTGACTATGATCTCTGTACTCTTTTGACTAATTTACAAGAAAGGTGATTGAAGAGAGTATAATAACTATCAGGGTATCACCTTACTGTGCACTGCTTTTGTCAACTGCTGTTCAGCTGATTGCTCCCATATGCACAAGGAATTCTGGGAGATTACTAGAAAGATAGAGCAACTTGTGATTAGACATTGTCAATTGTATTATTGGTTGAAAAGAAATGAGAGGTTCCAAAAGATGTAAATCAAGTCTGCATAGACTTTGTCAAAGTCTATGAAAGTATTAAAAGAGAGTTGCTATGACAAATCATGGTGAGGCTTGGAATTCCCCAAACACTGGTATGTCTTACTAAGATGCAGACCAAAGTATCAAGAAGTTATCCGAGAACTGACTTTGAGGTAATACTATCAGACCCAATGAAAATCAATAGAGGGCTCAAAACAAAGAGGAGTGCTGTCATCAGGGCTTTTCAGCTAGATGCTTGAAAAGGTTATAAAAAACAACTGAAGGATGAAAAGACCTGCAGCTGAACAGATAACACCAGGTATTTGCCTATGCAGATGACATCTGCCCAGTAGAAGAGAACCATGCCTCTGTCAACCAGTACATGGGACTTTGAATTTAAATCACGCATCTATTCAGGACTTATTCTTCACAGAAGATGGCACAGCAACACCTCAGAGCTGCAGGAGGGCTGCCTAAATGTTTAAATCTAAGTAATTTGGTGGAGCCTCTACCTTGTCATATTAAGACAACATAGTGGAAGATGTCCAAATCAACAAATAAGTAGAATAATGAGTTAAAGAGCACTACCATTGGAAGGGGCTATGACTCTTCCATTGGACCACGGAAACCATCTTCTGCTTCTCAAAGGAGAACTGAACTGAATTTCTATTAGTCCAGAACCCCCAAATGTCACGAATCAGGATATTCTGCATCAGGAATCAGTGTCAAGAGCTGAAGCAAGAATAGTTCAGGGGATCAGGGCCCCTTCGAGAGAGTGACAGGAAGCCAAGAGTCAAAACCTGACAGACACCTAGACCACAGGAACAGGGTGCAGAAGTCAAAACAAAGTGCTTGAATCAGGCCAATCTACAAGCTCAACTGGAGTCTCATTGTTTAGGCAGCTCACCATTGTCTGCTCTGCTGGTTTCAAGGCTGTTTGAAATTGAGTCACTTCTTCTAGTGGGGAGAAGCCATCCCTCTGATGGCTTATCCCCTGGAGAAGTGACTCATCATCACACCACAGTATTGGATGGTACATTTAGGCTCTCACTGTGAAAAACTATATTCCTTGGTTGAAATTCAAGTACTTCATCAAAAAACTTGTGTGTTATACTTTAACTGGGGCCTCCAAGTCCGTTTTAAGCCGAGTACCATACAAACAAATGGTCACAGAACACTTGCATTTAAGATCTTACAGTCTCCCCATTTCCATGTGAATACTTTTAATTTTTATAAAATCAATGACCCATTTAAGCAAACACAAGACATGTTCACCCCCCCAAGCCTTGCAGATGTTTGAAGAAGTACAGTTGAAGTACAGAACTTAAGTGAACTTTTGTTTTCTGCCCAGTTCTTCCTTCCCATGTCCTTGTGACAAGTTATTTAGCAGAATTCACAGATTAGTTAGAATCTGAAACAGCTGTGCTGTAAGCACATCTGCTAAGCCCTCAAACTTGAGTTCTCAAGGCTGTCAACTATGTCTTAGCGGCTGTGCCACCCCAGCCACCTTCTGCCCAGTTAAGAACCAGAAGTGCCTGAATTAAGAAGTCAGAAATGCCATTTATATATATATCCTAATTTTATTTAGAAAAGACATTTGTTTTCCAGCTCAGTCTTGCAGAATCAAAGATTCAAAGTTCATAAATATATTAGAGATTAATAGATCAACTGGAGACATCTTCCACGTGACAGATTATTAGTTTGGAAAGGGGCAATGGTTCATTTTACACAGAATTGTGCATGTAACTCCCTCATGATCCCAGATGTTTAAAAAAATCCCTCTGTTACAACCACCAGACATGCATATTACGCTCAATGCTGAAGTAACAAAAGGAAAAATATTAATGGGCAAAAAGAATGTTTGATCACTCACCTGTTTCAATGGCAGGTGTAGAATTTTTGGTCTAGATAAAGGAATTAAACAAATAAATTTCCACATACCTCACAGGCTAGCAATGAATGAGAATCAGAGCAAGGCTGAAGATGGAAGAAGGATAATTTAAACACAGACAGGAAATTAAATTAGTTTCTATGTGCATAAAATAATACGAGGACAAGAGCAGATGAAAGATACGAGTTTTAAGGATCTAAATGGGTACAGATAGGTGCTGAGCACAGATGGGATTTAGAAATGAACAGAAAATAGGCAAGCACGTTGTATGGATCTCAGAGGCAAAACCAGCAGCAGCAAAAAGGAGGAGTGCGAAGGAGGAACAGGAAGTGAGGGGGAGGAGATAGAAAAATCAAGAGCGTTAGAGAGGCTGGGGGAGAACAGTAGGCCCTGTAACAGCTCTGTAAGAAACAACTACAGGTCAGTCACATCATACGCGCATTTAACTTATGTAAATTCAACTATATGTGGGGTGGGAGGGGGGGGCGGGACTTGAATTTACATGCGGTGCTGCCGCTTACCTGGAGGCCCATTATGGCGGTGACGGCCACTGCCTCCAAAACCTCCTGCTGTCGCCATGGAGCCGTGCCCGGAGCTGTGTGGCTGGCCACGTGGTGATGGCCGGGCAGCACGCAGCCATCCCCACCACCACCTCGCACTACGCCGCTGCCGCTGACCGCACAGCTCTAAGCACGGTGCTGCGTGCAAACTGAAGCCCCGCCCCCCTACCCCACGTGTAGTCACCGATTTTTGCCTTACCCGATTTTCGCCTTACGCACTGACTTCAGACCCTAACCCCTGCGTAAGATGAGACTCCACTGTATCTAAAATAAAAAGACGCTGTTTATATTAAGTAGGGAGCTATTCCTTGATTACCCATACAGGGTCACATGAAATATGGCAGTGTCATGACCCAATGATTGTGTATGCGCTTTGGCACTGCAGAATTATTTCCCGCCACATGGAGCTTTCTTTGCACGGTGCAATTCTCAGCTGCAGAGAGAAAACCCCGGTGCAAAGGAGTTCCCGCCACCCCTATGTAAATTCGTACCCCATTATTGGCTGTTTCTAAATTATTCCCACGTGGCGGCTA